GTTCAAACCGGTCAAAAAAGGTTCAAATAGGTAAAAATAAATAAATAAATAAATATTTTTGCCTACCCGGTCGACCGGCCGGTCAACCAACCGGTCACCCACCTGCAAACAAAACAGCGTATGGATTCAGAGTCTTTGGATGAATTGGGAAGGATGAAGACAAAACAGCGGAATTTCCATATTCCCACCTGAAGAGTCACCCACCTGCAAACAAAACAATTGATGAATTTCCATAATCCCACAAATTTGTAAATTATGTCCACAAGAGTCACCCACCTGCAAGCAAAAAATATATATATATATATATATATTTATAGTTATCGGTCGACCAACCAGTCGACCCACAGGATTTGATACAGAATTTGATGAACCGTTGGAGCATGAAGTATCAAATTGAGGAAATGGTTATTTTTTTACTCAAATTTGATGAAACATTAGATGAATCGTTGGAGATGCTCTAACGACATATTTGTTTCGCTCTTTGGGGATTGTGATTGGATTAATAATATGTGGAATCTATTTAAAGGACATTTGGTTATGGATATGAGTGGGCGGATTAATTATTGCCTTGGGATTATAAATTAAGTGAGGTATTAGTGAATTTTTAAATGTTTTTTAAGTAAAGTTATAATTTTTAGAACAAAAAATTAATCATAATATTAAAAAAAATAAAAAATAAAAATATTAATTTTATATATTAATACTATTTATAGTATTACTAATTTGGTAGTGTATAAATAAACACTCTTTATCTTATATTTTTAACATAATACTATTACACTAATAATTTCTTTATTCAATCTTATCGCACTCTTAATTCCTTCCATCCTATAGAGCCAAACAAATGTGACTTAAACGGTGGCGCTACATGTACCAATTAGTATATTAACTAGTATATCAACACTAGTTATGATATTATTATTGAACTCACTCATTAATCACATTACAAATTCTAAAAATTTCTTAAATTATGTCACATCATCAATTGGTACACTAGCTAATATATCAATTGGTACATATAACATTATTCTGACTTAAATGACACTTGGCCTCTTTTGGCAAAAATGTTAAAAGCAGTTTCTTGGCTTTTAATTTCTTTTAAATCACATCAACTCTATTTTTTTTACATATTTCTTCAAAAAACAAAAAAAACAAAAAAGTCAAAAAAAAAAAAAGGAACTTCCCAAACAACCCCTTATTTAATTAAAATTTATCTTTTAAGTAATAAAACATTTTTATTTCAAGTGTAAATCAAACAACAAAAAATAAAAACAAATATAATTTTAATATAAAATATTTTACATCAAAATAAACAGAGTTTTTGTATTTAATAATTTTTTTAAATCATAAATATTTAAAAAAATTTAAAAATAAAAACGATTGTGCTACATGCACCAAATAGTGTACTAATTAATATACTAACATATGTTATGATATTGGGACTGTTTGTTATAGCTTTTAGGGGGTGATTATAACTTATTTTGATTTTGGAGTCTGTGCTAGACTGTTTGGTGCAACTTCTACTTATAGTTTATTAGGCATAAATAGCTTAAATAAACTAAAAAAATTGATTATTTGAAAGCTGGGGTATGAGTGTTTTTAGCTTCTATTTTATGATTATCAACTTTTACCTTGAAAAAAGCTCCACAAAAAATGTCACTATTATTAATCTCACTCATTATATAAATTAGGAAAAATTAGTCTATGGTCCCTCTCCCATTTTTAGTAATGAAAGAGATCTACAATATTGTTTTTTGATGTCTAAGGTCTCTAAACCCACACTCAAATATCAGATCAGAAAAATTTGATTATCTTTCTCTCTTTTCGATCTTTATTCTATCCAAACCAAACCCTCTCCCTTTGTGCACATTACTCTCTCTCTATACTCATTTCTCCTCTCTCGATCGTCATCTCCGACGCTGCCGATTTCACATTTGCCTCTGTCTCTACCATGCTGTCGTCGAAATGTCGCAATTTGAGTCGTGAACCACCACAGTCTGAGTCGGACCACCGCGATCTGAGTTGAAATGAGATTGTAGAAGACTAACATCGATAGAGGGAAATCCAAACAAGAACATAAAGCTGCGATCTATTGACTTAGGCTTACTATGACACTGGACTAAATTGCATCGAGTATGAGCTTTGTTTGTTCACAAATCAAATCCAATCGCTTCAAGAAGAACTCGAGTTCCTCTACTCGCAACTTCCTCAATTTCTCATCCAGCCCTTTCAGCTTTGAGTTTTCAACCAATCTCAGAGCATTCAAATTCTTACCAAAATGTAATGATTCTTTAAGGTAAGGAAACTTAGACAAGTCTTGCTTTTCTTCAACTCTCAAACCTTTTTTTTCTTATCTTCATTTAACTCATTCAGATAATCATCATCAGCATTCATGTCACTCTCTTTCTCCTGAATGTTTATGTATTTTTCCCTCAATTTGGAGATTTCATCATTCAAATCCCATCGATGGACATAAATCTGAAGCGAGTTTTTGAGGAAATCATGCAAGGCAAGGGAATTGTGAAATGAGTATATCTCATTATTGGAGTAGTAATCAATAATGCTCTTCAAGATTGTGATTTCATCATTGATCAAATCATTTAGTGGCTTCTCTTCATTATGATTGCCATTTTGAGCCCTACTTTGAGAATTATCTTCTCCAACAGAGTTCTTGAATGGTATTTTTGCTGGCAAATCTGGGGGAGAATTGATGTCCTTAGAATAGAAATTTTCTCTGGTTGTTCATTTTTTCTGAATTGAAATTTTCTCTGGTTGCTCAATTTTCTCTAGATTAAAATTTTATCTGATTCTTCAATTTTCTCTGGATTGAATTTTTCTCTAGTTGTTTAATTTTCTCTAGATTGAAATTTTCAATTTTATCTGGATTGAAATTTTCTCTAGTTGTTTAATTTTTTATGGAGTGAAATTTTCTCTGGGCATTCAATTTGCTCTAGATTGAAATTTTCTCTAGGTGCTCAATTTTTTTTGAATTGATGTTAAGAGACCTTAAATATTATGAAAATATTAAATATCTTTTATATTATAAATCATGAACCTTTAAAAAAAACTTATAAATTATAAATATTAAAAAATTAAATTATATCACATCATTAATAAATAATTATTTAAATAAAAATTAAAAATTAATATTTGAAAACTCCACAATAAAGAGAGTTTATGGAGAATCAAGTAAGATCTTCAAATTTTAAATTGGAGTGACTTCAATAAATATCATAAATAAATGAAAGAAAATGGTAAAAGTAAGTAAATTGTACTAGTATATATTAATGGGGGCAATAATAGCCGTTGCCTGCAATTTTTTCAAAGTCACTGAAAAGTATCGGGATGCGTATTTTATTTGTTTAACTTATTAAAAAGATTCCCCCTTGAAAATCACAGAGATATTTATTGACACCCTATATTAAAAGAAAAATTATTCATGTAAATAAATTCTTTCGGTAAATTCTTTCCCTCAAACTTTTTTTTAAATAATGTTATATATATATCGATTAATATATTAATAAATAATATGACATAATTTTAAAAGTTTTAAATTTTTAACAAACCTTTTACATAGGTGTAAGATTCACATACATAATTCGTTAAGTTCCATAGTTTGGTAAAATATTTAGTAATTTATTTAAGGTCCTAGCATAACTTTTTAAAATTTGCATAATAGGTAGAGTTAATGATATAACATAACACTAATTGATATATTAATTAATACATTAATTGATACATATAATATCGTCGAACTTTTTTTTAATGAGATAGAATGGAAAATTTTAAAAATTAACTCACGTTTTAATAATGTTTTAAAATTTTTCTGACATAAATGACTATTTTAAGAAGATGGTTACAATCAATTTTTTGTTTAAAAGTTGATTATAATTAATTTTTTGTGAGAGAGTGAAGTGTACTATAATCTGATAAATGAATTATAACTCACTTTTCAAAGAGGACAAAATTTATCTTACTACCTCATTCGAATGATTTTTTTTTAAATATATGTAAATATAACCCCACTCATTTTAAAAATTCCTTTGACAATATATATCTACAGTTTTTTATTTATTTTATTTTTTCCAAGTTTGGCAGCTAATATAGCCAACGTTTTTAGTCTAAGACTTTTTTAGTCTTGTTTGACTTTTGTTTTGAGATTTTTTTGATTTTTATGAGAGAAAAAATGTAATGGTTATGGATAATAAGTGATATTTTATCTTATTAACTTGTATAATTTATTTTGTCTTTTTATATTTTTTAGTCTCAAAATCTTAGCCAAACCAGCACTTAATAACTTTGACTGTGCACCCTTAAGAGCATTTCCAACGGTGGACCAAATTTTTCATCAAATTTGAGTAAAAAAAAGTCAATATTCTCAATCTGATATGGCTTGCTCCAACGGTGAGTATCAAAAGGAGGAGGGTCGTCCGGTTGGTCGACCGGTAAGGCCATAATTTTTTTTTATTGTTTTCCTCCATTTCTGTAACCAATTCTTTTCCTATTTCTTTTTCCCTCCATTACATATACTTCATTTTGGTTTACCTCCAACTATGATTTGCTTCTAAAATCTTATATAAACACATTATTCATATGCCAGACAAGTCCAGACAACTGATACGATCATAGCTGAAACAAAACAGAGCATAATGAAAACCTTCAAATCCATGATGTTGACTTCATTTTCATCATCTTCTTCTTTCTCCTCATCTGACGATGAGTTTGATGATGATTATATGGTCACACTTTTAGGGGCTTATGAGAAGAATAATGCTAGTATGTGTAAGGCCCCGGTGCCTCACATCGGGAATGGAGGGGGAGTTCCTAGGCTATAAAAATAAAAATCTAGACCCTTATATTGCATCGAGGCCTTTTCTCAAGTGGTGAAATCCCTATTAGAACTCCCCAGTTAAGCGTGCTTAGGCTGGAGTAGTTCTAGGATGGGTGACCCACTGGGAAAAACAAATCCGTGCGGGCATGACCCAAAACGGACAATATCGATGACGTGTAAAGGGTCGGGGCGTTACAGTATGCTTCAGATTCTTAAGTCAAATGATAGTTCAAAGAAAATAGGAGGTTCTGTTGTAGGTCATAAGTATATATGCAGAGATAGAAGGCAGGGTCATGAGAGATTGTTTGCAGATTATTTTGCTGCAATTCCAGTGTATTCACCTACAATATTTCGGAGACGTTTTCGAATGCGTCGTCCTTTGTATCTGCTAATTTTGAATGCAATCCAAGCACACAATTCATATTTTGTTCAAAAACAAGATGCAACTCATGTAGTTGGATTATCTCCCCTACAAAAAATGACTTCAGCGATGAGAATATTGTCATATGGTGTCACAGCAGATGCAGTTGATGATCATATTCGTATCGGGGAAAGCACTACAATTCAAAGTTTGCAACAATTTTGTAATTCAGTGATTCAAATCTTTGGACCAGAATATCTGAGATCTCCAACACCAACTGATGTTGCTAGATTACTTGCTATTGGGGAGGTTCGGGAGTTTCCGAGTATGTTAGGAAGTTTAGATTGCATGCATTGTGAGTGGAAAAATTGTCCAAATGCATGGCAAGGTCAATACGTAGGCCATCAAAAAAAGCCAACTATTATTCTTGACGGAGTAGCATCTTGTAATTTATGGATTTGGCATGCATTTTTTGGAATGCTTGGCTCACACAATGACTTGAATGTGTTGGACCGAGCACCTTTGTTTTCTTATCTTGCTCAAGGTAAAACTCCCCCTGTCCATTACACTATTAATGGACATAGTTACACTTCTCCAGCTGACCTATTGTAACAGGGATGAGGGTAAATTTGACACCTCAATACGATGCACTGCTAGTTAGTAAACTTGAAGCAATGTGATGACTAAATTTAATTAATTTACCCCAAAAGGTATATCTACGGCTGGTATCTCTATTTTATGTTCACTTAAGAGGTACTCAGGAAGAAGATGAAAATTTTACTCTTTTGTCATATGTGAAAGGAAATGGTACACAGTTTGATATTCCTACTTTGGCAAGCATTATTGGAGTTGAGGTAGGTGATGAAAATATCTATTTTCAGAGTGAGGCTGAGTTAGTTAATATTATTAGTAATCCTAGTGACGTATATACTACTATTTGTGAGAACAGATTTACTGGGACTAATCTACAAGCAAGACATTTAAAACCTTATCTTCAGATTCTCCACCGGTGGATTGTAAAAAATGTTACTCCGAAAAAATGACATCATAATGCGGTCCCATATTTTAATGCCTATTTGTTATACTGTTTTGAAGTTGGCCACAAGTTAGATTTGTGTTACATAATAATGAAAAAAATGATGTATGCAAATCTTGCTCAATTCATGGGTCGGCCATTACTGTTTGGGGCACTCTTGACAAAAAATTTCAAAAATTTTAGGGTTCACCTCGTAGATGAAATGGAGATCAAAATCTGTTCACCCATTAATCAGTATACAGTGACCTATGCTGGTGGAGCCTCCAATTTAATGGGAAGTGTTAATGCTCCAGAAGATTCAAAAAGATGAAGTCCCACCAGATGATGCTCCAGAAGATCCTCCTGCCAATGTGATGCCATCAACTGAACAAGATCTACCAGTAATATAGCCATAGTCTGACTATTACCAGTAATGGGATCTTGAGAGACTGCTAACCAAGATCTACATAAAGTTTCATCTTCTATAATTGTGAACGCTTTACTACGAGAAACACGAGAAGTTTCTGAAATAAAATGATTATCAGTGTTTTGCTCTCGTGAAGTTTCCGACATAAAATTAATATCAGTGTTGTGCTCCAACATTTGCGATTCTTCAAACATTTCAAAATCTTCCATAGTTTGAAACAAATTCAGTACATACAATATCTAACTTACTGAAAAATATTAGAATGATATACACTCAACCTTAGAATCAGATAATATAAATTAAAGCGCACTGAGAATTTTTTTTATAATGACACAGAACAAACAAAATTCACAGCATATAATGTAATGCTATTATGAAAATGAAATACTCTGTCAACCCAACTGAAATTCACAGCATAATATTACGAAACATATATATTTTATAGAGCACATCAGCAACAGTAAATTTTCAAAATACTCTGTCCATCCGACGGTAAATTATTGGAACGGCTAGTTATGAAATATGTATATGAGATGTAACTCTTTCAATTATATTTTCATGAGAATTTAAATTTGTATCACCCTTCAAATTATTCATAGTCCACAAAATAACCTATCTAAAAAAAAAACAGTTCAAACCAGTTCGATAGGTAAATTTTCAAAATACTCTGTCCACCAAATGTTAAATTATTGGAACGGTTAGTTCTGAAATATGTATATGAGAACTCTTTCAATTATATTTTCATGGGAATTTAAATTTATATCACCCTTCAAATTATTCATAGTCCACCAAATAACCTATCTCAAAATAAACCAGTTCAAACCAGTTCGCACCTGGCAAACAAAAGAAATGCATAATTGAGGAACCGGTCGACTGGTTGGTCAACCGGCGGGTCAACCGGCTGGTTGACCGGTTGGTCTCCCTTAACGGTCACGCACAGTAAAATGGTAAAACCTGGAGCATGTACTCACTTTGATGAATTTTTTTGTTCCATTTTCATTTTGATACCAATTTACTGAAACCATTGGAGCTCCAAAAAGTGATTTTTTCACCAAATTTCAAATTTGATGCAAGGTTTGATGAACCGTTGGAAATGACCTAACAGTCACTCCAACAATGAGGAAAGGCTTTCAAAACCTTTCCAACTCGGTTTCCTTATCTCTAATTGTTTGGTGGTTGAGATTATTATAAATTAAAAATTAATAATCAAGTTGTATAAATTAAAAATATTTATTTTTCAATTTGTAAATAACTTATTTATTTGAGTTAATTTTACCTATGCGCTATTTGACATTTCTTATAAAAATTATTTATCTAGGTAATATCTCCCCCTCAAACTTTCTTAATGATGTAAGTTGACTCATGCTTTAATATTCTTTTAAAATTCGGTAGATTTTGTCTTATAGAAAGATTTTTAAAAAGAAAAATTATGATTGTGTTTGGTAGAATTTTTTAAATATAATTTGAGATTAGAATTATATTTTAAATTTGTAAGTTTTGAAATTATGATCTAAGCGTGGAAAATTTGGTTGGTAATTGAGTTTTGAAAAGAATTTTAAATTGAACGGAAATTTGATACAAAAACTTACAACTCATAACTAAATACACAACTCAAAATCTCATAATTTTTTAAAAGAATTCAGAATTTTTTTTTATTTAAAATGTAAAAAATAACATGTGCCAATTGTAAAAAAAAAATACATTATTTGGTCAACTGGCCAGATTTTCGGGAGGACGACTAGTAAGCCCAAATTTTTTTTTATATTGGATAGAGTTTTTAAAGGTAAATGTGAAATTAATTTTTAAAAATTCTAAATAAATAACACACTCAAAACTTAGGGATTGTTTGGGATGTTCTAAATAAATGTATTTTTTGACTTTTTATGAAATATGAGTTGGATATGAGTTGTGTTTGAAGTGATGTGATAGAGAGGTAATGTAACTTAAATAAGATGATATGACTTAAATATGATAGTAATTTTTTAACTTTTTAACTTTTTTAAAAAATACTAAACAAGATTTTAAAATAAAAATATATTTAAAGAATACAACCAAATACAACGTATATAAAAAGTCCCATTTGACAATGCTATATATATCTACAGTTTTTTTAATTACTTTATTTTCCAAGTTTCAAGTAGTGACTTTGACTCTACACTGAAAATAATGTCTACTCTTAAAACTCACTCCAACATAATAGAATGAGGAAAGGCTTTCAAAACCTTTCCAACTTTGTTTCCTTGTCTCAACGTTTAAGGGTGTTTTAAAAAGGTTGTTAAAAATTATTTTTTGATTTTTTTTTTTGATAGAGAAGGTAAGTTAAAAATTAGGAAGCGACTTTTAACTCACTTCTTAAAATAGGCCTTAGTCTTTGTTCGGTAGTAGAGTATATTGTAAATTAAAAAGTAATAATCAAATTGTATAAGACAAAAATATTTATTTTTAAATTTATGGATAATTTATTTATTTGAGTTAATTTTACCTATGCATTATTTGGCATTTCTTATAAAAGTATATTTTTTAAAAATTCTAAATAAATAACACACTCAAAACTTAGGGATTGTTTGGGATGTTCTAAATAAATGTACTTTTTGACTTTTTATGAAATATGAGTTGGATATGAATTGGGTTTGAAGTGATGTGATAGATAGGTAATGTAACTTAAATAAGATGATATGACTTAAATAAGATAGTAATTTTTTAACTTTTTAACTTTTTTAAAACATACTAAACAAGATTTTAAAATAAAAATATATTTAAAGAATACAACCAAATACAACGTATATAAAAAGTCCCATTTGACAATGCTATATATATCTACAGTTTTTTTAATTACTTTATTTTCCAAGTTTCAAGTAGTGACTTTGACTCTACACTGAAAATAATGTCTACTCTTAAAACTCACTCCAACATAATAGAATGAGGAAAGGCTTTCAAAACCTTTCCAACTTTGTTTCCTTGTCTCAACGTTTAAGGGTGTTTTAAAAAGGTTGTTAAAAATTTTTTTTTGATTTTTTTTTGAGAGAGAAAGTAAGTTAAAAATTAGGAAGTGACTTTTAACTCACTTCTTAAAATAGGCCTTAGTCTTTGTTCGGTAGTAGAGTATATTGTAAATTAAAAAGTAATAATCAAATTGTATAAGACAAAAATATTTATTTTTAAATTTATGGATAATTTATTTATTTGAGTTAATTTTACCTATGCATTATTTGGCATTTCTTATAAAAGTATATTTTTTATCTTTTATATTTATTGAGTCACATTACCTTTCTAATTTTTTTGTACATATTTTTATAAAAAGTCAAAATATATACTTATTTAAATCATTCTAAACACTCTCCTAATAAACTGTAAATTTTTTTTTTAAAAAATCACTAAATAATTTGATACCAACTTCCAAATGAAAAAAGGATATAATTAAATTATTACAGCAAACATGACTAATGTATTTGTCATATTTTATATTTTAATACATTTGTTTTTCACTTTTTTATTATATATATATTTAAAATTTAAAATTTAAACACTACTTTCAAGTAGGGATATACTCTGTTTGGTTTAGTTTTCAGAATTCATTTTTTAAAAAAATTATACTTTTTATTTTTTGTTTTCACTCATTTTTTTTTAATTTTTAAACACACCTAATATAAATACACTTAAAAAGTATAATATTTATAGATTTTTTTTAAAAAAAAGTCACTAAATACCAAAAATACGAAAAATTACAAAAAATTAGTACATTTTTCATATTTTTGTGTATTTATTAATTTTGTAAAATATTTTTTCGCAAATATTTTACTATTTAGATACATCTAAGTAAAGAGCACCTAAAAAAATAAAAAAAATGTTTAAAAATTTAAAATTATTCACTATGAACAAAAAAATATGAAAAACAAACCATTCGATTTTTAGAAAACTGAATTTAAAAAACTGAAATCAAATAGATTGAATAAAATGAGAAGATAGTGAATTTGTAGTGTTCTCCCCTCAATCATATAGGGGGGATAAATTAGTGAAGTAGCAAGGACAGTTTAATTTACTAAAAAATATGTTAAATAAGTTAATAAGATAAAATATTATATTTAAATTATAATTATTTTATTTTTTTTAACAAATCTTTTAAAAAAAAAAAAAAAAATAGAAGTTCTTTCCAAATGTAGCTAATTTCGAAGTTGGGTTAATTTGTTTTCACTTTTTAATTATTTTAACTTAGGCTAAAAAATTTGTTTGAGTTGGTTTTTTTATCTTTTATGAGAGAAAAATGAAATAATTAGTTTGGATATGATATTTTGTCTTCACTTTTTAGTCTAATTTATTTTTTGTGACTAAAATAGCTAAAAAACCTCCCAACTTTTTATGCCAAATGAGTGCTACGTAATTTGGTCAAAAAAGCATCCAACCAAAAAAAATCTTCCTAAACATAGCACTCATTTTGGCATAAAAATATTAGGAGATTTTTTTTAGCTATTTCAGTTATAAAAAAGACAAAATAGAGTAAAAAGTCAATAACATAAAATGTCAC